GGGGGCCTTGGGCCCCGCTGGACCCCGCCTGGGTTTTTCTTCCCACTGAGCGGGGCTTATTGTTACAAGGAGTGGGGTTTTCTTTCCCCCCCTCTGCGTACGAGTTGGATTTGGTGTCGGCCCCTCCCCGGGTTCGGTTCCGTGTTCCCCCGGGTACGTCGGTTCCGTCCTTCCGGAGGTTTTCGGCTTATCGCATCCAACCTGGTGTGGTGCGAGCGGCCTTTGCAGCTTACCTCCTGCGTGACCCGGATTATGCCTCGGAAATGGATCCGTCCACGTTCAGGTTTGGGACTTCATTCCCTTTCTGGCTCCGTTACGAGGTTCCGGAGTCGTCCTGGCTAGCAGACTGCCCCTTGTTTGGTCTGGATTCCTGGCATTCCTTCTGTCGTTCCCGCACGCTGGAGTGGCGGGAAGCTTCCACGGTGCTTCAGGTTTTCCTGGGGGGTGAACTTGAGTACCTGAATGAGTGCTTGTTTGCCCCTGCCCTTCCCCGCGATGTGGGCGTTCTTCAGCTCCATGTGCAGGTTCCCTCCCTTTCGGCGGCGCTCGTGGCGGAGGACTTGCGCGCTCGGGGCCTTTTGTGTTCGGCCTTGCGGTTCTTTTCCCTCCTGGAGCTGTCTTCCGATTGGCTCGTGGAGGATGTGGGGACGCTTGGGTCCGTCCCGGGGTCCGGCACCTTGTCCTCGGCTGCGCGTTCGTCGGCTGCCTTGTTGAAGCTGTTCACGCCGATTTTGCGGGATGCGGTTTCCCTGTTCTATGCTTCCCGTCTCGCGTGTCGGCAGGCGGTGCTGGGTTGCTCCGTGGAATCTGCTTGGGCTCTGGCTCTTAGGCGTTCTTCACCTTTTTGTCCTCTCCTGTTTGGGGAGTCGGCCGTGGCGCAGTTTATTCAGGCTGCGTCGGCGGCTTGTCGTCCGATGTCGGACTTGTTGGTTTTCCGGGGGTCCCGGGGTGGGTCTTCCCGGAAAGGTCGTGCCAGGGCTCGGGGTTCCTCTCGTCGTGGTAGGCCTCTGGTGTCAGGTTTGGGGTTGGCTCCTCCTGCGGACCCTCCCTCGTCTGGTCGGCGCGGTGTTCGCGCTGTACGGGGTTCTGGGTCTCGTAAGGGTCGCCGGCCCTTTCGCGGTTTGCCCCCTTGACGGGGCGATGGGGGGGCGGCTTGCGCTGTTCGCCCGCGCCTGGTCCCACGATTCGTGGGCCTTTCGGGTCGTGTCTCGCGGCCTGCGGTGGCGTTGGGTGGCCCCTCCCCCCTTTGGGGGGTCGGGGCTGGCAGGGCAGGCTTCTTCCCCTGCGCTCTGTCGAGTCGTCTTGGAGTGGGTACGCTTGGGCGTCGTCGAAACGACGTCGTCCCTCAGATGGGTTTCCCGTCTGTTTCCGGTTCCGAAACGGGACTGCGCGGACCTGCGGTTCATTCTGGACTTGTCCCGTCTGAACCGCTGGGTTCATTGCCCCTCCTTTCGGATGACTACGCTGTCTCAGGTTCGGCTCCTCTTGGAGCCGGGAGCTTGGATGGTGTCCCTGGACCTCCGGGACGCTTATTGGCATGTCCCGATTCATCCGCGGTTCAGGGACTGGCTCGGTTTTGTAGTGGGGCGTCTGAGTTACCGCTTTCGTTGTCTCCCGTTCGGGTTGAACCTGGCACCTCGCGTGTTCACACGCCTTACACGGGTTGTGGTGGCTCGTTTGCGTCTCCTAGGTGTTCGGGTGTTGGCCTACCTCGACGACTGGCTGGTTTGGGCTCCCAGCCAGTCAGCTTGCTTGCTAGCCAGGGATTTGGTTCTTTCCCAGCTCGCCGGGTTCGGGTTCTTGGTGAACTGGAGGAAGTCCCATCTGGTTCCCTCTCAGGTTCGGACTTGGCTGGGTCTCGTGTGGGACTCTCGAACCGCCTCCTTGTCTCTCCTGCAGCTGCGGTCCCGCCTTCGTCTGTTTCTGGAGGACCCTCGGTTGCTGCGTCACCGGCTTCCTCTTCGGGTTTTTCGGGGTTCAGTGCCTTGGCGCCTACCCGAGCCCTCGCTCGATGTGTACACGGATGCGTCGTCTCTCGGCTGGGGTTTTGTGACCAGTGCTCACCAGGCCGGCCAGGGGCGTTGGGATCCGTCCTTCCGTCGAGCTCACAGTACGGTGCGGGAGTTCGCGGCAGTGTGGTTTGCTCTGGGGAGGATTCGGGTGGCCCGCGGATCGACGATTCGGCTCCATTCGGACTGCTCTCCGGTGGTTCATTGCCTGAACCGCGGGGGTTCGATGCGGTCCTTGTCTCTTTGGGGTTGGTCGCTTCGGGTGACTCGTCTGCTGAGTTCTCGGGGTTTGGCTCTCCTGGCGGTTCACGTACGGGGCGTGTCCAACGTCTTGGCCGACGCCCTGTCTCGCTTCGTTCCCCTCTCCACGGAGTGGACGGTCAACGACGAGTCCTTCCTTTGTCTTTGCCAGACGTTCGGGCGCCCCGAAGTGGACCTCTTCGCGTTGGCGTGGTCGCGGCGTCTTCCCGTTTATGCGGCGCCCTTCCCCGATTGCGAGGCCGTCGGGGTCGATGCCTTTCGGCTCGACTGGTCGAGGTGGGGGTTCCTGTACCTCTTTCCCCCGGTTCGGCTGTTGCTCCAGGTCCTGACTCGCTTAGAGACTTACCGGGGGAGAGTTCTTCTGGCCCCTTGGTGGCCGGCCCAGCCTTGGTTTCAGGCGCTGGTTGCTCGGTGTCCGAACCCGAGGGTTTTCCCGCGGCTCCGCCTCTTTCAGCAGATCGGGCCGGTACGTCACGTTGCTGGTTCGATCTTCTCCTCGAGTCTTCGCGTATGGTTTTCTTGACTCGAGTCTATCATCATCTCTATGGTGATCAGGTGGCCTCCTTGTTGGTGTCCCACCTGAGGGCTTCTTCTCGGCGGCAGTATGAAGTTTCCTGGTGGTCCTTCCGTTTCTTTTTGCGTCTTCGTCGTGTTAGCTCTTTGTCTGTTCGGGTGGTCTTGTCCTTCCTCTCGTGGTTGTTTCAGGACCGTCATCTTATGCCTAACACTGTCGCTTCGTATCGTGCGGCGCTGGCGGAGCCGCTTCAGCTTGCTTTCGGTATCGATGTTACGTCTGCGCCGTTTCGCAAGCTGTCTCGTGCATTGTTTCACCTCCGGCCTGCTCATGCGTCGCCTGAGCCGTCCTGGTCTTTGCACAGAGTGCTCGCTTTCCTTTCATCTCCTCGTTTCGTTGTGGCCCCTTCGGTCCAGGATTGTTTTTTCAAGGCACTTTTCTTGTTGGCTTTGGCCTCTGGGGGTCGGGTAGGTGAGCTTCATGCTCTCCTCCGGCGCAGGGGTTTCTGCTCTTTTGGTCGTGGTGATAGTTTTGTTCGTTTGCAGCCGTCTCCTTCTTTTCTGGCGAAGAATGAGACTGCTGCGTTCCGGAGGGGTCCATGGGTGGTTGATGCTTGGTTGGTCAGGCCGGGGGTGCATCATGTTTTGTGTCCGGTTGCGGCGCTTCGCCGTTATTTGCGCGCCACAGCTTCTGTGTCCGGGGACGCGCTGTGGGTTGATCCAGTTTCCCTTCTTCCCTGTTCGCGGGTTCGGGTCTCTCAGGTCGTCCGCAGGGTTATTAGGTCCAGCCAGCCTGCGGTCTATCCCCGTGCCCATGACGTTCGTAAGTTCGCGGCTCTTGCTGCCGTCTTTGGGAATATGTCTTGGTCTGATATTCGGGCGCGGGGATTTTGGCGGTCGAACAGGGTCCTGGCTGCTCATTACCTTGTGAATGTTCCTGGGCCTTGTCGGGCCTGTGTTGCTTTGGGTCGGCGGTTGCAGCCAGTTGTCTCGGCTTCGAGTTGAGGGGTGAGCGACGACCGCCTCCCGGGTAAGTCCCTCTTTTTCTGTCTGTGGGTAGTTAGCTCCGGGGAGCCGACGGGGCTCCCCCCAGAAAACCAGCGTTGAATGTAATGAAACGCCATTTTCTGGGTGAGTCCCGGAGGCTCCCCGGCATCCCTCCCTCCCTCCGGTCGGCGGTTTTTCGCGTTTTTGACATCCAGCCTCAAGAACTGAGGTGTGGGTAGCCGGCGCGGGGGGTCTGGGGCTCCCCCTTCCCCCTCCCGGGGAGGGGGGGAGCTGCGCAGACAGCGGCGCGGCAGTGTGTGACGTCACACTAGTTTGCTTGTTTTCGGTTGGGGAGTTCTATCCACTAGTTAGGTTTTAGGTAGCAATTTTAACCAGAATAGGGGTTTGTTTTGGGGCGCTTACCTTTCTGGGTGCCTGTTCCGGTCGATGGCAGACATAGAATGCTTCCAACTACACGGGGGCTTCTTTTGCCGTAGGGGGCCCGGTTCTGCTGGTCCCCGGTAGGCCTAAGAACTCCATACACATGACTGATCTCCACGATACACTCCACACAGCTGTCCCTTTGTGAGGGGCTCTCGTACCTGAATCTTTGGTAGCATTTGTATGCCTTTTTTTCTTCTTGCATCCTTGTCTTTAGTAGACATTTGTTTTGGATGTCTCGTCATCCTCAGAAATAGCCCGTAAAAAGTTAAGGGCATCAATATTGAAGCCTCGAGTTATCCCTGTCTTAGTTTTGCCTCCTGTCATGTTCTCTGCTTTTAATGTCTGATCCATTCCTGAAGTAATTCTTCATTTTCATGGTGTCTTAGCCAGTGTAAAATAATGTTTTCCTTGTTTTTATAATTCAAACTATATTGCATAATTTATTCATAAATGTTGCTCTCACTGTTGACCGTGTTCCCAGGAAATACTGTAGAACCAGTTTTCCGTTCATGGAGACTCGAGATGCCATCCCACACGATAAGTACTTCACTTCCATTTTATTTCATTGATTTTTGTACGTGTTGAAAATGTGTGTGCGACAGGAATACGGGCGAGTGAGAGTCGGTACGTGAGAACACGGTGGGGGGGGGGGGGACAAAAACGGTAAATATTAGAGAGCACATGAATCATGTGCTCTCATGAACCATGTGTCATTTAGGGTAGTTGGCCTAAATCATTGATATTACTGTTTTAATAGACACATTGTCGTCTCGTTTCTGTTTACAGGCTACTACAATGTGGATACTCAGGTTGTCCGTGAAACTATGCGTGTGGTCTACCCACCCATTGAAGACTTGGAATCTTTTGGAACACACATTGCCAAGTATTGTGCCAACTTCTCCACCTATCGAATGGAACGCATTTACACCCCTGGTAAGTTAATTGTCTCAAATTACAAAGTATTGAGAAACGTGCTGACAAAAATTGAGTACAGTATTTGTTGGTCGTGCCATCTTTGATGCCCGATGCCTTTGAGAATTTTTCCGCCTGATGTGCTATGGGCATTTGTCAATCACCAAAACCTGTTGTAACATGACCTATTATACCATGTATTTAAATTCTTTTTGATTAAGAATTATTATTAAAAACCACCTCTGCAGTAGTTGTGGTAACATTGGCCTGTGCTTTTATTCCTTGTTCTCAAGTTTGACTCCCAGAGGCTGAGCATGGCTGCTTGAGTGACCGGTACCGTCAACAAGAAGGGATTCAATTTTGTCTTTTTATTACTTTTGATATTCTTATGGGGAAGGTTCTTGACCCCCTTAAGAGAGTAATTTGCCATCTTTACCTTATTAGTTATAAATATATAATAAATAAATAAATAAATAAATAAATGTTTATTCAGGTAAGGTACATACATACAAGAGATTTTACAAAATTTGATACTGTTGTAGATTTCTAGATAGAGCTAGTACATACAATGCCTAAAGCCACTATTACGCAAAGCGTTTCGAGCAGGAAAAATATTAAAGACTAAAACTTAATACTAATCGAGTTTAAAGTATAAAATGTGCTGTAGAAGCATGACAAAGATTATTTACTACTGTACAGTAAGTACTTCTAAATGTGAATGGTAAATTATCCTGTCAGAACTAATATCCCATCCTTCTACTTTCCCACACCAGAAAAAGTCTAGGTAATCCTCCTGGGCCCTCTTAATCTTTGTTTAGTCATTCAGTAAGATTGGCCTCTCCTTGTTGCCTACTGGTACAAGGTATATGGGTTTCCTTATATTTTAACTTGTTTACATTTGCAACTTCCACCAGTCCACATGCACTACGGTGCCTCTATATAGGTTGTACTTGTCCACCTTGTCTACTCACCTCAGTATCTTGAATGTAGTGATCATATCTGTACTACATCTCTCATCTTAGCTTCTGAGATTGAGTTATCTTAATTTGCCCTTGTAGCTTGGCCCGTTGATTCAGGCACCAGTCTGATTACAAATCTTTGTTGTTTTTGTCATTTAGTTTTTGTGAGGTGCAGTTTCCACACACACACACACACACACACACACACACACACACACACACACACACACACAAAACAAAATACAAATCAACAAATTTGTACAAAATGAAATCTTTAGGGAACCAGATACAATAAGAATTCCAGAGAACAACATAGAACACATAGAGGTGTCTAGAGACGAAGTGGAAAAAATGATCAAGGAGCTCGGTAAGAACAAAGCAGCTGGCCCAGATGGCGTTTCACCATGGGTTCTGAGAGAATGTGCATCTGAGCTCAGCATTCCACTTCACCTGATCTTTCAGGCATCCCTGTGTACAGGAATCGTAGCAGACGGGTGGAAACAGGCTAACATAGTTCCAATCTACAAAAGTGGCAGCAGGGAAGACCCCCTCAATTATAGACCTGTATCATTGACAAGTGTAATAGTGAAAGTATTGGAAAAACTAATCAAAACTAAATGGGTAGAACACCTAGAGAGAAATGATATAATATCAGACAGACAGTATGGTTTTCGATCTGGAAGATCCTGTGTATCGAATTTACTCAGTTTCTATGATCGAGCCACAGAGATATTACAGGAAAGAGATGGTTGGGTTGACTGCATCTATCTGGACCTAAAAAAGGCTTTCGACAGAGTTCCACATAAGAGGTTGTTCTGGAAACTGGAAAATATTGGAGGGGTGACAGGTAAGCTTCTATCATGGATGAAAAATTTTCTGACTGATAGAAAAATGAGGGCAGTAATCAGAGGCAATATATCGGAATGGAGAAATGTCACAAGTGGAGTACCACAGGGTTCAGTTCTTGCACCAGTGATGTTTATTGTGTACATAAATGATCTACCAGTTGGTATACAGAATTATATGAACATGTTTGCTGATGATGCTAAGATAATAGGAAGGATAAGGAATTTAGATGACTGTCATGCCCTTCAAGAAGACCTGGACAAAATAAGTATATGGAGCACCACTTGGCAAATGGAATTTAATGTTAATAAATGTCATGTTATGGAATGTGGAATAGGAGAACATAGACCCCACACAACCTATATATTATGTGAGAAATCTTTAAAGAATTCTGATAAAGAAAGAGATCTAGGAGTGGTTCTAGATAGAAAACTATCACCTGAGAACCACATAAAGAATATTGTGCAAGGAGCCTATGCTATGCTTTCTAACTTCAGAATTGCATTTAAATACATGGATGGCGATATTCTAAAGAAATTGTTCATGACTTTTGTTAGGCCAAAGCTAGAATATGCAGCTGTTGTGTGGTGCCCATATCTTAAGAAGCACATCAACAAACTGGAAAAGGTGCAAAGACATGCTACTAAGTGGCTCCCAGAACTGAAGGGCAAGAGCTACGAGGAGAGGTTAGAAGCATTAAATATGCCAAAACTAGAAGACAGAAGAAAAAGAGGTGATATGATCACTACATACAAAATAGTAACAGGAATTGATAAAATCGACAGGGAAGACTTCCTGAGACCTGGAATTTCAAGAACAAGAGGTCATAGATTTAAACTAGCTAAACACAGATGCCGAAGAAATATAAGAAAATTCACCTTCGCAAATAGAGTGGTAGACGGTTGGAACAAATTAAGTGAGAAGGTGGTGGAGGCCAAGACCGTCAGTAGTTTCAAAGCGGTATATGACAAAGAGTGCTGGGAAGACGGGACACCACGAGCGTAGCTCTCATCCTGTAACTACACTTAGGTAATTACACTTAGGTAATTACACTGGTGGTGTGTCTTTTAGTACAGCACCTTTTAGTTTGTTTTTTTTCCAACACACTCAATGATCAAATTCACTTTTGAAATTGCTTGTGAACCTGTTCCAATTAATAATTTACATTGCTGTATTGTGCCCAGAATTTTTGAAGGTAATGGGGGTCAATCCAATTAACCAAACGTGATGGTTAATCAAGAACCAGAATTTTCTTTCCCTGGATAACCGAAGAATCTAAAAAATGGGGATATGGGTATTGGGGAGGGGGGGGGGCTCCTCTGAACAGTGCTTGCCTTTGTGTCGGGAGATTGGAAACGAGACCAAGTTCGGAATGTTGCGTCCGTACACTGACTCGTGTCAATAACCAGCATTGAATGTAATGAAATGCCCCTTTCTGAATGAGCCGGGGAGGGGAGGGGGGTGCTCTGAAGCTACATTGTTGATATGGCTTCCCAATGCTTAGCCACATCAGTCATTAGGCTTAATGGCAACTGGAGACCAGAGCCGGAACCTGGTACCTCTGGAAGAGGCACAGGGAGCAGGGGATTTATCACCCCTCACCAAGAAAGCAGACTAAACTCAAAAGTACCCAAACAGCTAGCAGTCACTGCAAAAGAATCTCCAAAATGGTTATCTTGAGGTTATCTTGAGTTGATTTCGGGGCTTTAGTGTCCCCGCGGCCCGGTCCTTGACCAGGCCTCCACCCCCAGGAAGCAGCCCGTGACAGCTGACTAACACCCAGGTACCTATTTACTGCTAGGTAACAGGGGTATTCAGGGTGAAAGAAACTTTGCCCATTTGTTTCTGCCTCGTGCGGGAATCGAACCCGCGCCACAGAATTACGAGTCCTACGCGCTATCCACCAGGCTACGAGGCCCCCGAGGTTAATAATGAAACAGCGTGTATTGCCAAGCTGGTGTCCCATATCATTGTATATGATATGTGTATGAGTGGGTTTGGGTGGTCATAAATAGGAGCTGCCTCGTATGGGCCAATAGGCCTTCTGCAGTTACCTTTATTCTTATGTTGTTCTTACGTATCTCACATTCAGTCCATTGCTGATGCGCCACGAATCAACCCGCCTGGAAGTTGGGTGGGAGGAAGGGGGGGGGGGCAAGAAGGCCACTGTGAATGACACAGAAAGGGGTGTTGCAGTACATTCATTGCTGGTTTTCTGGAGAAGCCACTTTGTGGCTCCCTAAAGAGAACAGGGTTCAGGGTGGCTAACAGATAAGGAACAAAGGGACTTACCAGAGAGGAAGAGAGGCAGCAGCTGCAAAACTCAAAGAAGAAACACTGGCATGGAAAACCAAGCCCAGGGCAACACATGTCTAAATGGGACTAGGAACATAGACCAAATACCTAGCCACCATGACCTTGTTAGATCTCCAAACCCCCCAAGCCTGGATATCAGCTCACATTATTAGCAAAAACAGTAGACAAACCCACAAACTTACGAGCATCGTGAGCCAGAGTTTAGACCGTGCAGACTGGCTACCTTTTATGACACTGTGGATGACCTGGGACATGTGCGCCCTGGAAAATGGTCCTAAAGGGGACTGGATTGACAAACTGTGTGTGTCCACCAAAGCATAACAGGTGTTATGCAGGTAGTGATGAACTGCCACTACAGAACTTGACAAATAATGCACACCCGGCTGGATAAAGCAAGCATCGGTTACCAAGGGACCTCTCCGCAAGCCAACATTCTCATTCTTCGCCAGAAAAGGAGGAGACGGTTGCAGGCAAAGAAACTGGCCACCAGGACCTAAAGAACAGAACCCATGCCTGCTGAGGAGAGTATGACGTTCCCCAACCCAATAACCAGAGGCAGTAACCAATAAGAACAATGCCTTAACCCTTAAGCTGTGGTTGTCATTTGTTGACAATCCTAAGGGACTACATTTTATCATCAAAAGATGATTTAAACAATCATTGTCTGGGTTTTAGATGCATGATGCAAATATGGATATAATGGCTCTCTGTGGATGTAAATAAAGAAAAAAAAGTGATAAAACAATTGGTGAAATATGTGGGGATAAAACAGGAACCGTTAGCAAAGTCAAGCGCTAGGCATTGACAAGTACCAGATGCAGCTTTGCAGAGTGCCTCCACTCACTGAAATGATAAATATTCACTTTTCATTTTTTTTTTACGTTTTGCATATAAATTAATAATTCTATAATAAAATCTTGCTTTTCGTACATAGGCAAGTATGACCATTTTTCCATAGCCGCTGTCTAAGGGTTAAGAAAAACATTGGAAGGTGCATGTATGAACTGAGAGGAAGAAAGAAATGCCAACTCTCAATCTAGAGACGAAGATGATTCAGGAGGAACATAAGCTGGTCGGAGGTGAAAGAAAGCACATGACAAGTTGCAAAATGGCAACAAGGAACTATTGACGCCGAACGCAAATGAAACCGGCCCCTCCAAAGCTGCATGATAAGGGGCAACAGTATTAGACAAGAGGTGCAGATCCACAAACATTTAAGGTGAGGGAAGAAGCATAACTTGGTTGACTGGCAAGATAGGGAAGGTGAGAAGTTACTCTTCACACATCAGCAACAAGACTGAACGTGGGATGCCAGCTTAGCCATCGGCTGGCACTTTGGTGCGTGTGTGCTGGGGGCATTTTTTCTTATTAATCATTATATTTTGTGGGTTGGCTGTTTTGGTGGTTTTTTTAATGAACCAAGCAGTTGTTTGGTGTTTTTTTTAGTCTTTGTGTGAGGGTGATTGTAATAATGGGCTTCTTCCTGTGCCTATCAAAAGGGGGCCAGGTTCGGGTAGACCAGTATGACTCCAATGACTGATGTATTGGGAAGCTTTAGCAGCAACATTAACTTCAAGGAATTGTCAAATCTTCCCCAGAATTAATAAGATATGGTCTTAACATATTGTTATACCCATTAGCACATTGTCTTTTGGAATACAATCTACAATATTCTAAGATTTTTTTTTCCATTATACTTGTAGCACCATTAACCGGTGCTATAATTTTTGGCATCAATGTCCATAGACTGGTAACTTTTCCATACAGCATTTACAAAAATAGTATGCATTTCTTAATGTTAACAATAATTTATGCAGTAATAACTGTGATTGCAATTCTGACAGAAGGGCGAGTATTGAAATGGTATCTTATATTTACAGACATGAAGAAGCGCAGTGTAAGTGAAGGCACAGAGATAGAATTTGTGGAGTTTGCCGGCAAAAAGATCGTCCAGTTAACAATTCGGGACGACGGGAGCAAGTCTCAAGATGAGGAGTGAGGCGTGCGTGAAGTAACCAGGTAGTACTGTACAACACCTCCCCCGAGTAAGCAGGCCAATCACACCGCTTTGCTCATATGTATTAGTGACGAGAGAATGAACGAGCAATAATCGAGTTTGGCGAAAGTGTGAGCATACAGTGCAGAGTTTGTGCTGAGGAGGCCTTGATACACTGGCTGGACTCCTTATGAATGTTACCGTACCTGTACGAGATTTGTAAGTTTCATGTAAATTTGTAATGACATTTGAAAGTTTTTAGTTCATGTGTTGGATAAGCAAATTACCAGAAGGCATTGTTGTTACTATTAAACCACTTAAACAACGATAAAACACCCAAGACAATAAATCTCTATCGAGCTGGAGGATGATACTTTGACTGGCCTTTTGACATGATGTATTTGACTTGCGTAGAAAATAATAAATAGGTAAACTGTCAAAACCTCCAGTATTTGTTAATGCATACTTCAATATATTCTTTTTCAAAGTTTGGATTTTAAAATTAATATACTAATATAGGCCATCTAGCAGAGGAACCTTTATGACAAAAGAGCAAGTCAAGTGTACAATTTAATTTCCTTTCATTGTAGACAAAATTTTGTATAAATATTTTAGGAGTATTGGAGTATACTTTGTATTGACTTGCTGGTCAATACTTGAGTAATGTCACTGTGGAGTTGACTTATAGCTATGAACTTAAATATTTTCAACACTGGAATATTGCGCAAGTCCCAAGATGTTTCGTTGTGGTTAAAGAGTATACAGGTTGTCTGCGGATGGTTGTGTCGTGTTAGAGGCTTTGTATGATTTTTATCTCGGGATTTTGAACTCGAATCTCAAAATCTTGAGGCAAGTTACCAATTTATGGATGATTTTTTTTTCTGGGTATTGGAAGATTTTTGTCATGACTGGTTGGAGATTTTTGAATCATTGGTGCATGTTGACAAAATATATTCCCACTGGGAATTCTTAAGTAGAATTACTTGATTACTGAACTTATTTTTGAACACTAGTTAAGGCAGAGTGCAGTGTACTACTGACTTACCTAATGTGGCGTGCAGAGAGCCTCCCGCCATTGTAATAATTATTCAGTGCCACTGGTGTGTCGTGTTCATTGGAAATGTGCGTTTTTTTTCTTGATTTAGATCCCATTTGTAGTTGTATTTATATTATAATTGTCAAACCACGTCACACGTCGGTGCAGTGAGGGGGAATATTTGTTTATATATTTATTATGGGTAAAATGCTATTAACAAAATTTTTGAAGATATTTGAGTATATGGAGAAATTATCAATAATTAGAAATAATATATACAGTAATTTGAAGAGAGTAAGAACTTTTGAAGGGAGTAAGAGCTGGTGTTTAACGTGACGGGAGTACACTGCATTGTAGCGTAATTCTCCAACTCAGGTGTATGATGTCGAGTTAGAGAGTTGATTAAATGATACTGTTTGTGTAATTCTGTGTAGTGCCATTCTTGTTGTATTTAATATAAATGTTTGTTTATTTTAAGAATTTGGGCTCTATATCAATGTTTTCCATGGCCACCCATACTCAGAGTATAATCACCTGGCCTGGACTGTTCTTTTTCAGTATATTAGCGGTTTGTGTGGGGAGTTAGTAACTGTATTAAATTGTTTAATTAGGTATGCTTAATATTTTTTGCCACCGTACTCTTTATGTAGTATCAAGAAATACAAATGTGAAAGGTCCAGGTTAACTTTGGGTTGAAGTCTTACATTATTCAAGTTTAGTTTTTAGTTTTGCCAAAGATTGTTTGATGCATATCACAGAATAAAAGACAGTTCTTTCCTCGGGGAAACCCTAGATACGGTTGTGCTCCAGCTGAAGCGCACTTGCCGAAAACTTCACCTATGTTATTTATAGAAGTTACTGAATTATATACTGTAAGCAAGAGAAGCAGTTTTAAATAAATACTGACATGATGAAGTTAGTTTATTGCATATAAGAATGAAAAGAGCATCTCCTTCACGAGTCATCCGTTGTGAATTGTCATTTGGAAAGTTCCGTTTTATGGGAAAAATTGGACGTGGCCACAGGTGTGCGTAGACGTGGGTGATGTAGGTTGTGTACCTGCTCAACGGGTGTGTGAAGACGTGACGATGATCTACACGAGACTTATGAAATTTTTTAATTTTGATTTAGCCCCAAAGTTGGCTCATTGCTGAACGAGAAGATGGCTAACAGAGCTGTAAGGTCCTCGCTCGTGTTGAACATTGGCTTGTTGAGAATGTTAGTGTTATCTAATGCCATTATTAAAGTTACCTAAAGCCATTATTGCTGTAATGTAATTTTCATTATTTTTTGTAAACTTTTTAATTAAGAGTTATTAAATATGAATTAGGAAAATGTTATATATATATAATATATATGTATGTATGTATGTATATATATATATATATATATATATATATATATATATATATATATATATATATATATATATATATATATATATATATATATATATATATATATATATAAAATATATTTCCCTTGCTCCAGAAATTTTGCATTATACTGTATATGCTATATATATATATATATATAAAAGTCAGATATAATATTTTACTGGTATGTATAGAGATACATAAACTCTCTTGAACTGTGTGTTCTATTTTCTCAGTTAATCACAACTGTTGTTTGTATAAAACAGCAGAGCATCAACCAGCTGGAGAGGTTGAAATAAAAAAAAAAAAGCTTTACATGTCTGTGCTTTTCTAAAGGAGATTTGCCAAATATCGAGATTTGTATAGTTAAGTTCGTGTCCTCTTGAGCTTTCAATTTACGGAGCATTTAAATTCGGTCATTTATAAGCTTGACTGGTAGCGGTATGGGAAGATATTTAAAAGTAAAAAAGATTGCATTAATTAGTTGATTTTGTGTGATGTTGACAGGTCTCCTCCCTGGCTTTCCCCTCCAGCAAATTTCATCCCAGGGTGTAGAACACGACTGCTCTATGGCTGCCCTCTTAACTTATTTTCCCCTATAAACTTTAGATAAAATTGATATGACCACTTACAGGAATCTTATATTGTAAAATGATTGTTATATCTAACTATTGCCTTATGTTCTAAGTGAGCCACATATCACCTAAGTAGCTGATCATTTGGTGTCGAATGTGACTTGAGAATATGAATTATAGGTCTTGGTCCCATTGACACCATTATACGTCTGTGCTGGCTCTTAATAGCAGAGACTTGTAAACTTGTGGATATTGTACAGTACAAACACTTTTGTCATTATGCACCACAGGAGCAACATATCACTGGAAGTGTTATTTCATGTCTCTGCCATCCTGCTTGACTCCGTTTCCTACAGTAAGGTGCTGCTATCTAGTGTCCACACACCACAAGAACTAAATCTATACTTAGGCTCAATTATTTCTAGTTCAATTTCAAATCTGGTGGCAATTAGAAGAGTGTGACTTAAGTTACCCAGCTACAGTGTTTCCATGATGTGACTCTACTCTAATCAAACTCTAATTAAGCTCTAATCAAGCAGGTAGTCTTGTAGTTCCAGGATCATTTACGTTGTCACCACGATTAGCTCGCCCAGTGTTTGCCTTTGTTGATTACTGTAAATGGAGCACAAATTAACAAGTGGTCATATATGTTAGAATATCAGTATTTACATGATTTTGTTTTATCACGATCTCGGATGTTTGATTACAAATGATTACAAATGATAACACGTGGAATATCAGTTTCTTCAGGGCAGCGGCAGTCAATACCTGTTGGATATTGGAGAATTTTTAGGATTAAAATTGGCACTAGGTAAATGTAGCATTCAGTCAGGTACTGAAAATTAGGTTGTATGTATGTGTATGTGTGTACATATATGTATGTATATATATATACACATACATATATGTACATATGTATGTACATATGTATGTATATATATATATATAATATATAATATAAAATGTACCTAGTGGCCAGAATGCAGTACTCGGCCTACTATGCAAGGCCCAATTTGTCTATTAAGCCAAGTTTTCCTGAATTTATGTATTTTTTTATTTTTTTCCTTATGAAATGATGAAGCTATCCATTTCATTTTGTATGAGTTCATTTGTTTAAATTTGAGTTAAAACTAACATAGATATATGATCGAACCTAACCAACCAAAACTAATATAACTATGTCAATAGTTCATGTTCTTAATATAATATAATAATATTAATTCAAATAAACTAATTGAAAACAACTTAATGAAATTTAAGAAAATCACTTGGCCTATTAGGCAAATTGGGCCTTGCATAATAGGCCGATAAGGGCGTTCTGGCTACTAGGTACGACATATATATATATAATATTAAATATATATAATCTCAAAAAATATATATATATACATAAAGTTCTCCAAATACCTTCTGTAATCTTAAGGTGCAAGTTTAGCTACAATACAAGGAAAAAGTCTATCAAGTATTTTGAATTTCTTAAATATTGGTGTTATGAGTTGTCTGGTGGATGGCAATATACTGTAGCATTATTCAGATATGTATTTTTTATATTCGGTAAAATAACTATTCAGAATGCTTGGTACATTTTGTACGGAATGAAAGCCTCGGACTCTACCCACTACCAGGAGTATGGAGGTTAAAACTCATTTCATGTGATATGTTCACTGCTATATACTGAATGAAATCTATTATATCCACATTTTATATAGGTAGTTAAAAAAAAAATTACAGTGTGTGTGTATTATTATATGTCCAAAGAGTTGAGGAGAAACTATTCCAGTTTTGAAATTACTTGAATGATGTGATCAAATTGTTGGATAAATCAGCCCTGTATAAAAATTATATTTATAATATACTCATATGGACACACAACAAAATAAAGTCATACATTGTCTTGGTTATTTTATATCCTCTTGCAAAGTTTGACAGCCATGGGATGTAGTCACGTATGGTCACACTTCCTTTACCGCTGTAGGTACTTGCTGGACTTTTCTTCAAACGGAAGGTCTTCATAGCTTGTCTCATGTTGGGAATTATATCAGCCAGATTAATAATTTAAGGTGACAAGTTAGTAATTACCAAATGATGGCACCAAGCCTGGAATTCTAGGAAGTAAGGTGTGTAGTCTCATAATACGACAAGGTGGTATTGTAAAAGGGAATACTACTATTTTTTTTTTCTTTCCACTCAAGCCTCATACATGTACTGTGGTCTATACCTGCTTGACAGGGTTCTGGGAGTAGTTTTCCCCAAGCCTGGCCTGAGGCCAGGCTTGACTTAGAGCTTGGTCCACCAGGCTGTTGCTTGGAGTGGCCCGCAGACCCACATATCCACGACAGCCCAGTTGGTCCGGTACTTTTTGAAGAAAACTATCTAGGTTTCTCTTGATGTCCACGGTTGTTCCGGCAATATTTCTTATGCTCGCTGGGAGGATGTTGAACAACCGCGGACCTCTGATGTTTATAAGGTGTTCTCTGATTGTGCCTATGGCACCTCTGCTCTTCACTGGTTCTATTCTGCATTTCTTCCATATCATTCACTCCAGTATGTTGTTATTTTACTGTGTACATTTGGGACCTGGCCCTCCAGTATTTTACACCTGTATATTATTTGATATCTCTCGTCTCCTTTCTAGTGAGTACATTTGGAGAGGTTTGAGACGATCCCAATAATTTGGGTGCTTTATTGCATCTGTATTCGTAAATGTTCTCTGAATTCCCTCTTTCAGCAATCTCTCCTGCTCTGAAGGGGTGAGTGAGTACTGAGCAGTACTCGAGACAGGACAGCACAAGTGATTTGAAGAGTACAACCATTGTGATGGGATCCCTGGATTTGAAAGTTCTCGTAATTCATCCTATCATTTATCTGGCCGACGCAATATTTGCTTTTTTATGCTGCCTAAACATTAGGTCGTCTTACATCATTATTCCCATATACTCTACTTGCTGCTTTCGTACTATGGGCAAATCTGATTGTGTTTTGTACCCTGCATTACGTTTAAGGCCCTCATTTTTACTGTACCCGAGTACCTGGAATTTATCAGTGTTAATTAAACATCATGTTATTTTCTGCTGCCCAGTCAAAAACTTTATTAATATCTGCTTGTAGTTTTTCAATGTCTTCAGCAGAGTTAATTTTCATGCTGATTTTTATGTCTATTTGCAAAGGATGATATAAAACTTGTATTTTTGTCTATATTTGATACTGTATGAGAATAATGAAAAGCAGTGGTGACTGTACCCTGAGGTACAGAGCTTTTAACTGCGCTTGAACTCTATTTTATATGGTTGACCGTTATTCTTTGTTTTCTGTTATTCCCATTGACCTCCGTTTGTGTGCTATCACGCCATGGTCACATTTATCGAATGCCTTTGCGAAGCCCGTGTATACCACATCTGCATTCTGTTTTTCTTCTAATGCCTCGGTGATTTTGTTGTAGTGGTCAAGTAGCTGTGAGAGGCATGATCTTCCCGCTCTAAATCCATGTTGGCCTGGGTTGTGGAGGTCATTGGTCTCCATGAAACTAGTGACCGAACTCCTGATCACTCTCAAATACTTTTATTATATGGGACTTTAGTGCAACTGGTCTAATTCTTTGACAATGCTTTGCTCCCTTCCTTATGTAGAGGGGCTATGTCTGCTGCTTTAAGCGCATCTGGTATCTCCCCATGTCCAAGCTCTTCCTACACACTATACCAAGTGCTCTTACTACTGGCACTTTGCATTTCTTTATAAATATTGAATTCCACGAGTCTGGACCCGGGGCTGAGTGCTTGGAGCTAAACATGTCCTTATACTGCTTTTTAGGATTTCACTCATTTGTCATCTTCAGTGTATGAACCTTCACTTGTACAAATAGGTCCAATACTGGCAGTGGTTTTTGCTTTTGGTTTTGCATATGTGAAGAAATATTTTGGGTTTTTCTTATTTTCTTGAATTGCTTTCTGTTCTAGTTGCCTTTCTTCAATCTGATATAAATGCTTCAGTCTCTGCTTGATTTCTTCAATCTCGGTTTAAATTATTCCTTCTTTGTAGGGAGTCGTGTCTGCTTAAGCGTTTCCGTTATTTTTTTTCTTTTGTAGTGTCATCTGTGTTCTTTCTACATTGGACCTCTTTCTGGCTCTCCTCAAAGGCACATTTCACACAGACTTCACATGCTTCAGAAGTCAGTTTTTCTGTTCCTTGTGTAGGATTTTTATGACTGTACTTATAAGTTTCCCATGGAATGTTTGTTAGTTCCCTGTTTATTTTCTCCCAGTCTATACTTTTATTATTAATTTATTGAATTGAATTTAAATGAATAACCCCCTATAGCTTGAATTTACTGAATAACCCCTCTTGCTTGATCGTTGTTTTAGGTCTATTCAGAGTATTGACGGTCGTTTGCACTTCAATGAGCTTGTGACCTGAGATTGTAATGTTCCAGATTATATCTTCATTGTTTGTGAAGACCAGATCTAGAGTATATTTGTTCCTAGTTGGTTCCAATATCTGCTGGTTGAGTGAAAATTTGTAGCAGAATCTAATAGTTCTCTAGTCTGTGGTTGGTTATGTCCTGATAGATTTCCTGGTATATTATTATTGTTTGCTATTCTCCATCTAGGCAGGTTGAAATCACCTAGGAAGATAATATCAGGTATTGGGTTTGTGAAATTATCAAGGTTATTCTCTATTTTGTTTATCTGCTCTGTGAATTCCTCAGCCGTTGCATCTTTTTTTTTTTTTTTTTTTTGAGATATATACAAGAGTTGTTACATGGTTGTACAGCCACTAGTACGCGTAGCGTTTCGGGCAAGTCCTTAATCCTATGGTCCCTGGAATACGATCCCCTGCCGCGAAGAATCGTTTTTTCATCCAAGTACACATTTTACTGTTGCGTTAAACAGAGGCTACAGTTAAGGAATTGCGCCCAGTAAATCCTCCCCGGCCAGGATACGAACCCATGACATAGCGCTCGCGGAACGCCAGGCGAGTGTCTTACCACTACACCACGGAGACTGTATCTGGTGGTTTGTACATTAGAATAATAACTGTTTATTTTCTCTTTACTCCCAGTACCTCCTCTACCACCTCATTTGTATCGTTAAGGAGCTCCGAGCAAAAAGATTTTCCCTAATACAGCATATAGACCCAATCCTCCATGTGACCTATTTACTCTATCACATAATTTCTTCATATCCAAATCTCACTGTCCAAGAATTCCCCTGCATGGATTTCTGTGAAAGCTCCGAATATTGCAATGGGTTAAGACCTAGATCTGGAGTTTCCCAGGACATTGTTTTGATCCCTGTTCCACTTTAAAGGTTTTATGAAGCCTCATACATATCCTGATCAAGATATAATGAAACTTGTAGTACTCTTATTTTGAATGGACTGGCAAATAATTATAGTTTTATACTGTATGTAGAAGGCTTGTTGTTACTCACACGGTGCTCACCGAATCACGCCAACAGTGAAGATAAGTATTCAACACCATGTGTATTGTTTATTAACTGGTTTTAGTACCTGGCCAAAGAGAATTCTCAACATGACATTGTGTAGACGCTTCAAGCCAGGTAAGCAGGAAATTCATTCATTCATTTATTACATTTATACATCATAAATTTGATGTACACACTTGTTTTGATGCCCAAATTAAAATTATCTTATTCAGCATGTTTAGCCACATGACTAAGATCAAAATACTTGGCCATGAAGCAGGGCCAAACAAATTCCGGAATGTAATCGAGATGGAAGAACTCATGCACGTTCGAGTGTGGTGCAGAGCTACCCCATTAAGGAGGGGGTAAAAGATAGTTGTCACAAGGAAAGATGGAGCTGTCCCAGTTCATGAGGTGATCACCACTCGGGGCTCAAAATTGCCATGGAAGTTTCTTTTGATAATTACTTGCCACAGAAGTGGGGGGTGGTGGGAGGGTCGGGCAGAATAGTCAATAACGAAGCCTGGTCTAGGCCCAACATAGCCAGAGCCACGGAGCCCGATCTTCCATCAGCAGACTCGGAGGACTGGTAGCCCACCTCCCAAGCCTGTGTTAGATAGGTCGGTTCAGTTTCCATATACTGTGGCATCATTTTCAAAAGTGTGGGTCTCTGAGCCAAGAGATGCCACCTACCAAGGCAGCCGAGTCCTGGCAAGTGCAGGAAGGAGCGAGTTGTTCCAAGCGGTCCCCACTCTTTTCATCAGGGTAGGGGGGTCCTCCTGCATCGTACATCCTTCCACACTAGTACAAAGACCCCTTTCTTCCTCCTCACCCCGGCCTGGACATCCAACCAACCTCCAAGGGCAATCTTTCCAGCAGGTGGTCCATCAATTCGAATGAGATCCCCACGTTAGTGAGAGCCTGCATGTACAATGCCCGGAGAGGGAGCTGAAATAACCCTCACCAACCACATGGCTTCACACGATGCACGAGTCCTAGTCGCCACATGAAGGCAACACTTGAGGGGAGATAAAGATCAGCAGTTTGCTTTCCCACAGTTCTATGAAGTCCACATGTCCCTCGCTCATATCCTGTAAACCTGATTCCTTTGACGTCGCTCATCTTGTCTTTCTGGCCTTGTATGGATTCTTGAATGATATAGACTTGTATTGTGTGATGGTGCCAAGCAGCTTGATGCATTACATTCTAATTTCACAGATATGTTTTATGGATTTTACTAGGCAAGACAAATCGCAACTGACCCCAGGCCGGGCTCGGGGAGCAGAACTCCGAGAACCCTCTCCAGGTATGTTCCACGTATTTGATTCAGCACGTCTAAACAGTATACCTGACATATACAGGATGAACACACGAGTCTTCTCTAGCGGTAATAATGGTGGTGGTTGTAAAAGGCTGGTAGTCTACAGTCTCAAGACTTCCCTGTAATGGCAGCAGTGTTTAGTATCTAGTTCAGTTTCCATACTACTAACCTGCTAATCCTCACTGGCTGGAAATAAAATCTAGTTTACAAATAGGTTGTAAGGCAAGATGTTTTCCCCCAACTCCACCGCTACTGCACATACAGTGGTCAACCTAACCATTAATAAGGGGCAGAGTCCACAACGCAAGTCTTTCATTGGTCTTTACAATCTTGGTGAATTTGCTTGTATTTAGTGAAGTTAGATTTTAACAACCTGAACCAATAGTACATGTAAATTATCTCCACAAACTTATATTCCATAAAATTCATTCATAATGTTGGATCCCAAGTTTTATTAATATATATATATATATACATATATAAAATGATTTAACAAGTACAATATTGTATGTGAATATCTCTACAAATCTGCACAGTTCTTATTACAATGTCTTCTACCACATGCATCTGAAATATACCAGCCCATCCTCCTGTTTGGATACAACTTATAGGAAGGATGAGGACCATAGTATATATACCGACGTACAACGCAGTTACAAAGTGAAAAAATAACTAGAAATCTAATAATAAAATAATACACAGAAATCTGTACTACTGAATTTGGACAAAGGGGAAAACAATTTGTCTAATGTTGCAAAGACAACATTAGAAAACTAGCCTAACCTTCCTAGGCCTAATATAGGATATCTAAGGCCTAACATAGTAGATATGTATGCTATACTAGGCCTAGGAATATTTGTGTTTTTCAGCTTCATTTTTGTTCGGACTCTATAAGTGAATAGTACAAAATTCTAATTACTTACTATGTCAATGTTTGTACTATGGTGCACATAGTTACAAAAAGTACCATGTAAACAGGAGGACGGGTTGATAATATTGGTCACTTGACGTAACTGTGGCAAGGCAACTCATACTGCCAACTTATCTTTGCCCAAGTTTATGAAAGGCTATAAAATTGAACAAGGTATTTGCAACCACAAGAGCATAATTAGAATTCCATTTGAAAATGAAAATATATATTGATCTCCTTGTTAAGTTGACAAAGGTCTTTTTGGACTAAAATTAGTCCTATTGAACGTGCAATATAGATAATCCACAAAACGATATTTTTAAAATTTACATCAAATATAATACATAGCATAAGTTAAAAAAGATTTAGGCCCTAAAGCAGCCAGCTTAGAAAAACCATGTACAGTATGGACAAAAATACTACACTATCACACAGGCTGGGGGCGCACAAGCTGTGGGCGCACAGGCTGTGGGGCACACAGGCTGGGCATACCGCCAAATGCACAATATTAAACTTTTTTTCTGCAAATTTTTTTTCTGCAAACATGTTTTATATAATTTGGCATCACAGCCCACTCCAACTTTGAACTATAAAGAAATGTTAACATTTCGTTATTACGCTTGACACCAACGTCAACACGTATTCCTCCTCACTCTCGCACAATGTTTCTGGCTAGCAATGTACACTTCAAACCTCATTAGCCAATACACCTGAAAATTGTTATTTCCAAAGAAATGAAACTACATCTTCAACTTGCAAATCACTACTACCAACACATGGTGAAAGTTCTTCCTAAGGGTAAGAACATTAATACATTTGAACAAAAACTTATTGCATACCAAAAATAGTATCAATTTATATTTTCTACAGCAACACATCTTTCACATGTAAACACAGCCCGACAACACGAGCGTAGCGCTTGTCCTGTAACTAGGCTAATTACTACTATTCTTCCATACACTGCTTCATATGCATCACTGCCATTTCTCAAGTTATTAGAATATAACAACATTTCTGGTTTCTTTTGCTTGATAGTAAATAGCAAAAGATCAAATTTATTAATCACAGATACGTATACTACATCTTATACAAAATTGTGACCGATTTACTACCTAGTAGTCTTAGATTATGCTGAGATGCTACACCACCCTTCAAGGTACACCGAACTTGATAAACTATAAAACAGAATTTTAGAAACTTAGTTAATGCACGAAAGAAACAAGAAGGTGCTGTTGATATAAACAGATTCCTCCAGTAAGATCAACATATGTATTGCAATTCAACAGGGACACGAACACAAACACCAGTAGATGCAATTAGAGTTCAACGACATCAAATTGAAAGTGGCTTTAGTGGCAAAAAACCCAAGAGTTGTACTAGCTTGCATCCCTACGTGCCACAGTCAAACCCTGTGAAGATTTAACCCTTTAACTGCGCGGCCTATAAATATGACATCCCCCCAGTGCGCAGGAAATGAAACCTCGGGAAAAAATTATTTTTTCTTCTGAAAGTGTCAAAAGCCCCTCCCTGTATATGGGTACAGCAACGGAAGTTCAAAATTGTACTCACTTTGGCTGCTATGGGGTCCGAAAGGTGGAGCATGACGTCATCATTCCCCGTGCGCCAGAGCAGTACGCTCCCGGGGCGGGGCGCGCATGTTGCCGCGAATATATTTTTGTTCATTTTTTGCGCACAGTTCCAAATACATTTTATTTGTTTTTACGTGCTAATCCTATGTATAATGAACACGTACACTATATTATGGCAGTAAAACATCCGTACTGTCTGAAGACACTGTGTTACGTGCATGACACTTGTGTACACATATGTTGCACATATTTACCATGTATCATGCTAATTTATGTATATATACAATCTATTTACAGACTATACACTGTCACACACTATATACATTCACCATCAACACATTCAGAACACCGCGAGTGTGAGCAGCCACACCCAGCCAGCCCTCCCTCACTCCAACATCTTACTCGCCAACATTGCTCCTCCCACCATACTGTTATTGTATTTATTACACAATTTACACATGTTATATATACCTATCTACATGTTTTATTTACCAGAACTATGCAAGTAAGCCGGTATTGTGTCCAAACAGTACAGTGGCCACCATACACTGCATGACAAATCACACAGCAGACAGCAGACGACGCCACGATTACGACGTCACCTCCCTCACCAAAATAGCTCCTCACAACATACTCCTGGTGCTGTTATTACACTATTCCACACACACTGTATATACCCATGTACATGTGTGTTCCCCATAGCGAACCACGAAGCTAGTATGGTGAGCAAAACAAGAGTTACTGCCACACAGTGAGGCTACCTCAATTCTCTCCCTTCCTCCCTCCCTCACCAAAATTCCTCCTTCCTACGCACAACGCTCATTATAACCACAATCCTGGTCACTAATACCTGTAAATGAATAATTGACCACAAGTTTATTTTGAAAAGGAACCTAAAAAGTCGTTTGAAGATTCCTAGATGGACGAAATAATGCTGTGGTGCTGTGGCTAGCGCTGTGAACATCGTGAACAGCATTGAATCACTGATATTTGAACATTGTACCCAGTCATTATCACACTCGGGCTCTTCTATAATACTATCATGGCTAAATAAAACAGATTATATATATATTTTGACAATATTAGGCGATGCTGTGGTCACACGCTGAACAGCAGTGCTGTGCGCTCATGCTGCGAGCGCCAGCCTTGGTTGCTCACTCACTACTGAGGCTCTGGCACCCGGCAATGTGGACCATGATTTTTTTTAAAGATGGCGTCTGTTTACAAGAGCCCTGAGGAAGCTGATGTGAACCCCATGTAGCCGCGGGAGTTTTGAATGGAACGTGAAAAATAAAAACACCCGGAGGCGCGTTGCGCACCCGAAGCCTGGGCCTGCAGGCGCGTTGCGCAGTTAAAGGGTTAAGCTGAGCCGTCTTATCGGTGAGAGGAGCCGTTGTAAGAGTGAGCAAGTCCTCCGTTTCGTCCTTGTTATCTTCCTCTCCCTCCCCATTTCCTCCAACCTGTTCTCTCAGCTTCTTCAACTTTCCCTGTAGCTCGGCCATTTTGGCATCATCTTGGCGCTTGCGGACCGCATTTTCAGAGAGCGTCTGAAAGGAACGATTGTTCAAATATATATTAGCATTGAAAAAGAGAGGTAACTTTGATGTTAGAGACATACGAGAGCTATGTAAGGCTAGAAAGTAAAGGGTCTGGGGGTGAATATCAGACCCTAAATGCAGTAGAGGATACAAGACACAATCAGATCTCATAAAAGAAAAATAACTTGTAAAAGATCTGGGAATAATGTTAGCCGATCATAAAGTTTAGCGAGTATAACAAACCAAACCCACCATCAGCCAGGATAATAATAGTGCATTATGACAACCTTCAAATGCAGGGATTCATTCAATGTTCTTACTATTAAAATTACTTGTACAGTACTTTCCCACCTTGAGTACTGCTCAATACTCACTCATCCTTTCAAAGGCAAAATTTCTGAAATGGAGGGAATTCAGAGAACAGATTTAATAAAGCACCTAAATTCAGATTGGGACCATTTCAAAGCTCTCAAAATGTACTGTCTAGAAAGAAGGCGAGAGGGGTGCCACACAATACATACACGGCCTACCAGTATCTTCCAATTGCCAAATTTGCACAGCACAATGACAACATACTGGGGCAAATGATATGGTAGGACATACAGTATAGAACCTGTGAGGAGTAGAGGAGTCGTAAGCACAATCAGAGAGCACTGTATGCACTTCAGAAGTCCACGGCTACTTAATATCCTCACAGAAAGCACGAGAAATATTGCTGGAAGCAAAAGCAGACATGTTTAAGACAATATCAAACAAGTTCCTGCAAGAAGTTTTGGGCCAGCTCTGCTATAGTGGATAAGCAGGCTGCTCCAAGCAATAGCTTGCTTGAAAGGTTCATATCACGACTGACTCCGGACTGGGCTTGGAAAGTAAGAGCTCTTTCCAACCCAACTCCAGGTATAGGGGTAAGCATCAGGCCCTAGAGTGAGGGAGGGAATTATCAGGGGAAAGTGCCAAGCCATTAGGACTATGTTGCACTTGGAAGGGATAAAGATTTGTGATGGGACGGGGGAAAGGAATGGTTGTCAACCACTTGGACGGTCGGGGATTGAACGCCGACCTGCATGAAGCGAGACCGTCGCTCTACCGTCTAGCCCAAGCGGTTGGGGAGCCCTAGGGTGAAGCATTAGGAACTAGGACAAATGCCAAGACCTAGAGAGAAACTTCAGAGGAGCAAACGATGAACATCACCATCTCTGGTGAAAATCAGGGGCCAGATTCACGAAAGCACTTATGCAACCACTTATAAACGTGTACAACTTTCCTCAATCTTCGACGGCTTTGGTTACATTTATTAAACAGTTTACAAGCATGAAAAGTTCCCATTCAACTGTTGTTATTGTTATAAACAGCCTCCTGGTGCTTCGGAACTCATTAACTGTTTAATAATTGGAAACAAAGCCGCCAAAGATTGAGAAAAGATGGACAGGTTCGTAAGTGCTTGCATAAGTGCTTTCGTGAATCTGGCCCCTGGTCCTTAGGCAAAACATAGGGTCCTGTAGAGAAGTTGTAGGTACAGTCAGTTCACAACTGAAAGGTTCCGGGGTTTAATTCCCAAAGCAGAAGTGAATGGACATGTTTTCTGTAGGGATGAACATCAGGACCTAGGGATGAACACCAGGACCCAGGGATGAACATCAGGACCTAGGGATGAACACCAGGACCCAGGGATGAACACCAGGACCCAGGGATGAACATCAGGACCTAGTGATGAACACCAGGACCTAGGGATGAACATCAGGACCCAGGGATGAACATCAGGACCCAGGGATGAACATCAGGACCCAGGGATGAACACCAGGACCTAGGGATGAACATCAGGACCTAGGGATGAACATCAGGACCTAGGGATGAACACCAGGACCCAGGGATGAACATCAGGACCTAGGGATGAACATCAGGACCTAGGGATGAACATCAGGACCTAGGGATGAACACCAGGACCCAGGGATGAACATCAGGACCTAGGGATGAACACCAGGACCTAGGGATGAACATCAGGACCCAGGGATGAACATCAGGACCCAGGGATGAACATCAGGACCCAGGGATGAACATCAGGACCTAGGGATGAACATCAAGACCCAGGGATGAACATCAGGACCCAGGGATGAACATCAAGACCCAGGGATGAACATCAAGACCCAGGGATGAACATCAGGACCTAGGGATGAACATCAGGACCCAGGGATGAACATCAGGACCTAGGGATGAACATCAGGACCTAGGGATGAACATCAGGACCTAGGGATGAACACCAGGACCTAGGGATGAACACCAGGACCCAGGGATGAACATCAGGACCCAGGGATGAACACCAGGACCTAGGGATGAACATCAGGACCCAGGGATGAACATCAGGACCCAGGGATGAACATCAAGACCCAGGGATGAACATCAAGACCCAGGGATGAACATCAGGACCTAGGGATGAACATCAGGACCCAGGGATGAACATCAGGACCTAGGGATGAACATCAGGACCTAGGGATGAACATCAGGACCTAGGGATGAACACCAGGACCTAGGGATGAACACCAGGACCTAGGGATGAACATCAGGACCCAGGGATGAACATCAGGACCTAGGGATGAACATCAGGACCTAGGGATGAACATCAGGACCTAGGGATGAACACCAGGACCTAGGGATGAACATCAGGACCTAGGGATGAACACCAGGACCCAGGGATGAACATCAGGACCTAGGGATGAACACCAGGACCTAGGGATGAACATCAGGACCCAGGGATGAACATCAGGACCTAGGGATGAACATCAGGACCTAGGGATGAACATCAGGACCCAGGGATGAACACCAGGACCCAGGGATGAACATCAGGACCTAGGGATGAACATCAAGACCCAGGGATGAACATCAGGACCTAGGGATGAACATCAGGACCTAGGGATGAACATCAAGACCCAGGGATGAACACCAGGACCTAGGGATGAACATCAGGACCTAGGGATGAACATCAGGACCTAGGGATGAACACCAGGACCCAGGGATGAACATCAGGACCTAGGGATGAACATCAGGACCTAGGGATGAACATCAGGACCTAGGGATGAACACCAGGACCCAGGGATGAACATCAGGACCTAGGGATGAACACCAGGACCTAGGGATGAACATCAGGACCCAGGGATGAACATCAGGACCTAGGGATGAACATCAAGACCCAGGGATGAACATCAAGACCCAGGGATGAACACCAGGACCTAGGGATGAACATCAGGACCTAGGGATAAACATCAGGACCCAGGGATGAACATCAGGACCTAGGGATGAACATCAGGACCTAGGGATGAACATCAGGACCTAGGGATGAACACCAGGACCTAGGGATGAACACCAGGACCCAGGGATGAACATCAGGACCTAGGGATGAACACCAGGACCTAGGGATGAACATCAGGACCCAGGGATGAACATCAGGACCTAGGGATGAACATCAGGACCTAGGGATGAACATCAGGACCCAGTGATGAACATCAGGACCTAGGGATGAACATCAGGACCTAGGGATGAACATCAGGACCTAGGGATGAACATCAGGACCCAGGGATGAACATCAGGACCTAGGGATGAACATCAGGACCTAGGGATGAACATCAGGACCTAGGGATGAACATCAGGACCCAGGGATGAACATCAGGACCCAGGGATGAACATCAGGACCTAGGGATGAACATCAGGACCCAGGGATGAACATCAGGACCCAGGGATGAACATCAGGATCTTCCTATGTGAAGCTGGAAATTCTGAGAACTGCCTTCAAGGAACCATTAAACACAAGATACCACTTATGTGAGGCCAGTACCTGTGTACGCACCACCAGAACTGACCACTAGTGTCACAGCCGGTACCTGTGTACGCACCACCAGAACTGAACACTAGGGTCATCGCTGGTACCTGTGTACGCACCACCAGAACTGACCACTAGGGTCATCGCCGGTACCTGTGTACGCACCACCAGAACTGACCCCTAGTGTCACAGCCGGTACCTGTGTACGCACCACCAGAACTGAACACTAGGGTCATCGCTGGTACCTGTGTACGCACCACCAGAACTGACCACTAGGGTCATCGCTGGTACCTGTGTACGCACCACCAGAACTGACCCCTAGTGTCACAGCCGGTACCTGTGTACGCACCACCAGAACTGACCACTAGGGTCATCGCTGGTACCTGTGTACGCACCACCAGAACTGACCACTAGTGTCACAGCCGGTACCTGTGTACGCACCACCAGAACTGAACACTAGGGTCATCGCTGGTACCTGTGTATGCATCACCAGAACTGACCACTAGTGTCACAGCCGGTACCTGTGTACGCACCACCAGAACTGACCACTAGTGTCACAGCCGGTACCTGTGTACGCACCACCAGAACTGACCACTAGTGTCACAGCTGGTACCTATGTACGCACCACCAGAACTGACCACTAGTGTCACAGCCGGTACCTGTGTACGCACCACCAGAACTGACCACTAGTGTCACAGCTGGTACCTGTGTACATACCACCAGAACTGACCACTAGTGTCACAGCTGGTACCTGTGTACGCACCACCAGAACTGACCACTAGTGTCACAGCCGGTACCTGTGTACGCACCACCAGAACTGACCACTAGGGTCATCGCCGGTACCTGTGTACGCACCACCAGAACTGACCACTAGGGTCATCGCCGGTACCTGTGTACGCACCACCAGAACTGACCACTAGGGTCATCGCCGGTACCTGTGTACGCACCACCAGAACTGACCACTAGGGTCATCGCCGGTACCTGTGTACGCACCACCAGAACTGACCACTAGTGTCACAGCCGGTACCTGTGTACGCACCACCAGAACTGACCACTAGGGTCATCGCTGGTACCTGTGTACGCACCACCAGAACTGACCACTAGGGTCATCGCTGGTACCTGTGTACGCACCACCAGAACTGACCACTAGTGTCACAGCCGGTACCTGTGTACGCACCACCAGATCTGACCACTAGGGTCATCGCTGGTACCTGTGTACGCACCACCAGAACTGACCACTAGTGTCACAGCCGGTACCTGTGTACGCACCACCAGAACTGAACACTAGGGTCATCGCTGGTACCTGTGTACGCACCACCAGAACTGAACACTAGGGTCATCGCTGGTACCTGTGTATGCATCACCAGAACTGACCACTAGTGTCACAGCCGGTACCTGTGTACGCACCACCAGAACTGACCACTAGTGTCACAGCTGGTACCTGTGTACGCACCACCAGAACTGACCACTAGGGTCATCGCCGGTACCTGTGTATGCACCACCAGAACTGACCACTAGTGTCACAGCCGGTACCTGTGTACGCACCACCAGAACTGACCACTAGGGTCATCGCTGGTACCTGTGTACGCACCACCAGAACTGACCACTAGTGTCATCGCCGGTACCTGTGTACGCACCACCAGAACTGAACACTAGGGTCATCGCTGGTACCTGTGTACGCACCACCAGAACTGACCACTAGGGTCATCGCTGGTACCTGTGTACGCACCACCAGAACTGACCACTAGGGTCATCGCTGGTACCTGTGTACACACCACCAGAACTGACTACTAGGGTCATCGCTGGTACCTGTGTACGCATCACCAGAACTGAACACTTGGGTCATTAAGCACTCAATACAGAAAAAGTTCTGCAATTTGCTGAAAACGAAATCAAGTATCTTGGATATGAGGATCAGATACAGAAACAGAGCCTCACATTACGAGAATAAGACTTGGCCACAATGCAAAAAAACTAAATGGTTAACTTGAGAATCACAATCGACTTGAGAATGGTCCAGGACGGACCGAAACGTCGTCGTCCCTTCAACTTTTAGTGTGTGGTCTGGTCAACATACTTCAGCCACGTTATTGTGACTCATCGCCTGTAAATGGTTAACGACACTGAAAATTACTCCAGCCCAATCAAAATACATTGACAACATTCATATCCAGTACCTGCTGCATTCCTTGCAACGTTTTCTTAAATGCTTCAATTTGGTCATCCCTCACTGACACTTCAGCCTTCAGATCTGCTTTGATGAGATCAACCTCGTTTTTATATGCCTCCATCTGGCACCTTAAACTGTCATTTTCTTCCTGCAAAGAAAAGACAAATAGTGATGACATTATTTGTAGACAATTCTTGTTAAGACACCCAACCCGTGCATCTGCAAAATAAAAAAGGAAATGACGACGTTTCAGTCCGTCCTGGACAAAAACGTAATCACTTTCTTTATTTTCACTTGTGTGGATTGGGGGTGTCTCTAATTTTCAGACACATTATTGTAACTTACAGTCTACATCATCATTACCACCTACAGTATCAACAAACACTCGGAAGAAAGTTTTGTCATGACAAAAATTGACAGTAAGATTAGACTAGGGTACAACTGCAATATCATGCTACCAATAGAAATCCTTGAAAGCAAAAGCAGATAGATACTTTTTTATCACAGCTGATCAGGAGAGGCATGCCTGTTCTCTATGCAGCCATATCTCAAATAATAAAATTAAACATTGTAAAGAGATTTTTTAATTGTTATTAAAGTATTATTGGTGACTTGGAAATTGTGGAAAACATTACGGGGTATATCTCAAGAGTTGAGAAATGCACACTTCCCACGTGTTGTGTACTTTCCTCTCGTATCCGCACAGGCGAGACGCTCTGTTTGAGAGACTCAAGACCTTGCGTGATGAATAGTGCCCTGCCTGTCATGTGTACATTTTAACTTAATAAAATACAATTTTATTACATAGAGCGATACCAAATAAAAATGCAATGAAGAAACAAACACTGAAAATTTTTTGAGTAATAATAATTAATAAGAAAATGAAACAAAAATCCTATTTCCAAATCATCTGTCTCCAAAATATACTGACGTACAAGTTTTGCCCCATTCATACCTGGAGCATACCTGGAGCATACCTGGAGCATACCTGGAGAAGGGTTCGAGAGTTCTTCTACTTCCCGAGCCCGGCCTGGAGCTAGGCTCAGGTGTTGCATCATCCGCCAGGTGGCCAGACGTTGTGCGACTACCATCATTTTGGGTAGGCTTATTTATAATTGCACTCATTTTTGGTTTGCTTACCCACGAACTGATGTCCACCAAACTTGGCGAGTGTACAGAAAGCAATTATGGTGAGATTTTCTGAGTCGTGTAATTTTGTAGTACAGTATTACTCATAGGGATGAAGAATTAATAAAAGAATGTTTTTTATTGAGCTTTACTCCACCTACTTTACACTAACTCCACCTGCATCCAATGAGAATAACTTCCACCACCTGCCCCCCCCCCCCCACCCTGACACTAAACCCCAACCACTGACATCACTTACCCCTTGACTCCCACCCTCACCAATGACACCATCTGCCTCCCCCTGACACCATGTTATCATCCTTCAACCCCTTCTCCCTGGAAACAATGGGTAAGTCCAATAAAACACTGTACAACTGTTTACACTTTGGTGACACATAGTTGATGACGGCCACCTCCTGACGCTCGGTCTCGGCAACCGCTTCAACGAACAATCCTTGCATAATCGAATATTTGTATGTTCCACTGAACATTTAGTACTGAATTCAATTTGTTTGGATCATCCAGGAATTTGAAAGAGAGGGGTTCGTTAGAGTGAGGATGCACCATACTTTAAATAATGTAGTGCTCAAAGACTATTGCTCCCTATGCCTCTCTGAGGGGACCAGGTTATCTTGAGGTTATCTTGAGATGATTTCGAGGCTTAGCGTCCCGGTCCTAGGCCAGGCCTCCTTTTTTGTTACACTTCCCCATGAAGCAAGCATTCCATAGCAGCTGTCTAACTCTCAGGTACCTATTTACTGCTAGGTAATAGGTAACAGGGGCATCAGGGTGAAAGAAACTGCACATTTGTTTCCGCCTACACCGGGGATCGAACCCGGAACCTTAGGACAATGAATCCAGAGTGCTGTCCACTCAGCTGTCAGCTTCCCCCCCCCCCAAATCAGGTTCTGGCTCGTAGTTCCCGGTAGGCATAAGAACTCCCGTGACTGATAACCAAAAACTAATATAGCACATATTAGTTCGGAAAGCTTTAGGGACCCGACAGGGCTCTCCACTGAAAAGTTTCTAGCCATTAATACACAAAAGATATTTTCCAGTTATTTACAAAACAAAAAATTCTGAAGTTGTAATGATGAAATCCTAATGTATGTATGTATGTGTGTGTGTGTGTGTGTAATTACCTAAGTGTGTAATTACCTAAGTGTAGTTACAGGATGAGAGCTACGCTCGTGGTGTCCCGTCTTCCCAGCACTCTTTGTCATATAACGCTTTGAAACTACTGACGGTCTTGGCCTCCACCACCTTCATGGTGTGTGTGTGTGTGTGTGTGTGTGTGTGTGTGTGTGTGTGTGTGTGTGTGTGTGTGTGTGTGTGTGTGTGTGTGTGTGTGTGTGTGTTTGTGTGTGTGTGTGTGTCAAAATTTACACAATAAAGACATATTTCGAGACACTGCATACCTTGAGGTATTCATTCTGTCGCATCTTCTTCCTGGCAGGCTGTCCCGAATCTTCTTCATCCGAGACATCCATTTCTTCCGCATCTTCCTTATCCGATTCATCCAGCTGGATCTCCTTGATCTCCTGGAGCACCAATAAAACAAACACGTGTTAATCTCCGGCTAAATGAGCACAGCAGCATCCAGATCAAAGCCCGACTTCTCCGAGAGTCCCACCGGCAAATATTATGCCACTGTGGCATCTTTCTAATCTGACGAATCACAAAATTTGGTCAACAGATCTGAGCACCACCAAGCATATGTTAATTGAAACAGTGTTGGTCAAACTCTCAACACTATGATCGTAAATTAAATTTATGTTGGACAATTTGTGTGTATTGTACCTCTGTGAGGCGAGGATGGAGGGCTAGAAACTATGAGAGTTAAATTGACGAAACAAAAAACCAAGAGGAACAGATTAGACAAAGGAAAGGGGGCAAGTAGGCAGAGGACTGGGAACATATATTTATAGAATGAGTGAAATGGAAGGAATAGGAAGGAATAGGGAAGCGGAGGGGAAGAGGGAAGGGTAGAGGGAAGTGGAGGGGGGGAGAGGGAAGGGTAGGGGAAGTGGAGGGGGGGAGAGGGAAGGGTAGAGGGAAGTGGAGGGTAAGAGGTAAGGGTAGGGGAAGTGGTGGGGGAAGAGGGAAGGGTAGGGGGAAGTGGTGGAGGAAGAGGGAAGGGTAGGGGGGAAGTGGTGGGGGAAGAGGGAAGGGTAGGGGGAAGTGGAGGGGGGGAGGGAAGGGTAGGGGGAAGTGGAGGGGGAGAGGGAAGGGTAGGGGGAAGTGGAGGGGGAGAGGGAAGGGTAGGGGGAAGTGGAGGGGGGGAGAGGGAAGGGTAGGGGGAAGTGGAGGGGGAGAGGGAAGGGTAGGGGAAGTGTAGGGGGGGAGAGGGAAGGGTAGGGGGAAGTGGTGGGGGAGAGGGAAGGGTAGGGGGAAGTGGAGGGGGAGAGGGAAGGGTAGGGGAAGTGGTGGGGGAGAGGGAAGGGTAGGGGAAGTGGAGGGGGAGAGGGAAGGGTAGGGGAAGTGGAGGGGGAGAGGGAAGGGTAGGGGAAGCGGAGGGGGAGAGGGAAGGGTAGGGGAAGTGGAGGGGGAGAGGGAAGGGTAGGGGAAGTGGAGGGGGGAGAGGGAAGGGTAGGGGAAGTGGAGGGAAGGGTAGGGGAAGTGGAGGGAAGGGTAGTGGAAGTGGAGGGGGGGGGGGAGGGTAGGGTAGGGGAAGTGGTGGGGGAAGAGGGAAGGGATTGTGGAAATACATGGTGATATAGGCATAATGTGTAGGGGAATATAGGTAAAGAGGTAGGGGAAGAAATGGAGAAAAAATGGGCAGGGAAACAACTAAGCCAGAGAGGGGAGATATATAACAACAAAAAAATTATTATACTATTTTCAAAATATATTTGCATAGATGCAAATGAAATACAGTAATTCAAAATCTATTACTGCACATTACACAGCTGCTGCAATAAAATCACAAGAATGCGATACATCCGAGAAAATAACTAGGTCAGACGATAGGATCGAACCCACGTTCCTGGACGTCCCCGGAACACGCACCACCACCTGAACCACTATCCAGACAGACATTTGTGTCCGAGGAGTCCACGAATGTGGCTCTAATCTCACCACATAGCCTCGATATATTCTCAGAAAATATGTAAATTACATTACAGCCCTTGAAAAATTCTGGATGTAGCACAAACTATGCAAGCGATGGTGAATTAATCGTACTGTGCATCCATAACAGTGCGGCACGTCACAGAGAATAAATACACGAGCAGCTTGGGATACACGAGAGAAGTACGTCTTTGAGAATTGATCGGTAATTACGTGGAGGCAGAGGCCAAACTGAGACCCTGGATGCAGCTGCTGCCAGAATTCCATCCATGGATGCCCTCTTGAAATCTTACCTCTGGCAATAAGTTTAACTTACCTTAGTTGAATTCCTGTGTGGCATCAAGTCTTCACAAGGTGAGGGGAAGCTATGTGTCTATTTTGGGTTATCTACAAAAGCTAGAATTTAAAAATTGGGCAATGCCATGGTTGAGAATTCATCCAATACTCACAAGAAGAACTATCATAAAGCAGCAGTGAATAGGAATAAGAGCAACAATAGATTTGAATGCAATGCTGAGCTTTGCACCAGATTGGTCCTTTTACTGCCTGCCAAGTCACAGTCGCCATGGCGACCATGCTCTCCCAACCATTCCTTTTTATCTTACCAAGAGACTTCTCCAAAATGTTTAACCGAACTTGAGACATGCCTAGCCTGGGGTCTGCAGCATGCACGTGGTTCACTAAATATGGATCTTATGACCAATCTAGGCCCATGCGTATGGCACGGATGTATTAATGACTCTTCCCACCAGGAATGCATGCAACGTTTACCTGTCGGCATATACATAGTGACAACTAGATTGCACTTGCAAAGCTCGTGTCTGCTCATTCTGGATGGACTACAGTCTGAAATCTTTACGCACAATTTGTTGGAAGCACAACGTAAGTCAATCCAGAATAAGAAGTAACACAAGTTTTATCACTCTTGACGCAAAGCTTCAGTCAGGTAAGACACGGCCGCTGAGTTCCAGCTGATAAGAGACCAGTTTACATACGATATTTATAATCTCTAAATACTGACGACTATAAAACACACACACACTAAATATACACTCAAATTTATGGTAATGAAAAAAAGGTTATAAATACATAAACAGTAGAGCAGACATGTCAAACTGAGGGTCCCCGAGGGTCATATGGGCCACATTTGTGTTGTCATGAGGGCCACACACACCACAACTGAGGGTCCCCGAGGGTCATTTGGGCCACATTTGTGTTGTCATGAGGGCCACACACACCACAACTGAGGGCCACCGAGGGTCATATGGGCCACATTTGTGTTGTCATGAGGGCCACACACCACAACTGACGGCCCCCGAGGGTCATATGGGCCACATTTGTGTTGTCATGAGGGCCACACACCACAACTGAGGGCCCCCGAGGGCCATATGGGCCACATTTGTGTTGTCATGAGGGCCACACACCACAACTGAGGGCCCACGAGGGTCATATGGGCCACATTTGTGTTGTCATGAGGGCCACACACCACAACTGAGGGCCCCCGAGGGTCATATGGGCCACATGTGTGTTGTCATGAGGGCCACACACCACAACTGAGGGCCCCCGAGGGCCATATGGGTCACATTTGTGTTGTCATGAGGGCCACACACACCACAACTGAGGGCCACCGAAGGCCATATGGGCCACATTTGTGTTGTCATGAGGGCCACACACACCACAACTGAGGGCCCCCGAGGGCCATATGGGTCACGTGTGTTGTCATGAGGGCCACACACACCACAACTGAGGGCCCCCGAGGGCCATATGGGTCACATGTGTGTTGTCATGAGGGCCACACACACCACAACTGAGGGCCCCCGAGGGCCATATGGGCCACATTTGTGTTGTCATGAGGGCCACACACCACAACTGAGGGCCCCCGAGGGCCATATGGGCCACATTTGTGTTGTCATGAGGGCCACACACCACAACTGAGGGCCCCCGAGGGCCATATGGGCCACATTTGTGTTGTCATGAGGGCCACACCCAACAACTAACTCAAGTCATTTAATAAAAATTATTGCAGAATATTTGTATTACTCAAACTTAGAAACATACAATGTGCATACAAATGGTTAAGCGGCCAGCCACATTCATGAATGGAAGGTAATGAAGTATTTTAACAAAAAGGAAAAAAAAAAAAAAAAAACGAAGTTTAGGCTTAACTCGCTTGCCTCACAGCTGCATTCGTGTTTCTTGTGTGTTTTTGAAATCCATTAAACGGTGATAGTTGAAATTATAAACACTACAATTTTGAGCATTAAATGACCAAGTTACAGTATCCTTTGTGCGAGCCGCACGTGTGCTTGGAAAGAGCCGCACGTGTCCTTGGAAAGAGCCGCATGTTTGACACGCGGCTCGCTGTTTGACATGCCTGCAGTAGGGGGATAGTGGGATAAATGTTTTGAACAAGTTCAAAAGTAAAAGATATCAAAGAGGCGGTAGAAATAAATTTGAAAGATAAAAAAAAATAAAAAAAGTATTAAATAGAGGACAAAATAGAAGAGGACAAAAGGTGAAGAAGAAGAAATACTGTGCAAGAAGACAATGATAAGAACAACGGCCATGAAGAGAAAAAGAGGGGTATTGTATTCCTTTTATTGTACTGTATTTCCAACGTAGAAGGGGCTCCAGAACTCTAGTAGTTTACTATACTGAGGCCCAGGAAGGATGCGGCCGTTTGAGTTACACAGTTCACTATACTGTACTAAGCCCCAGGATAGATGTGGTCGCTTGTGTCACACAGTTCACTATACTGAGTCCCAGGATAGATGTGGTCGCTTGTGTCACACAGTTCACTATACTGAGCCCCAGGATAGATGTGGTCGCTTGTGTCACACAGTTCACTATACTGAGCCCCAGGATAGATGTGGTCGCTTGTGTCACACAGTTCACTATACTGAGCCCCAGGATAGATATGGTCGCTTGAGTCACACAGTTCACTATACTGAGCCCCAGGATAGATATGGTCGCTTGAGTCACACTATACTGAGCCCCAGGATAGATATGGTCACTTGTGTCACACAGTTCACTATACTGAGCCCCAGGATAGATGTGGTTGCTTGAGTCTCACTATACTGAGCCCCAGGATAGATGTGGTTGCTTGAGTCACACTATACTGAGCCCCAGGATAGATATGGTCGCTTGAGTCACACAGTTCACTATACTGAGCCCCAGGATAGATATGGTCGCTTGAGTCTCACTATACTGAGCCCCAGGATAGATGTGGTCGCTTGAGTCACACAGTTCACTATACTGAGCCCCAGGATAGATGTGGTCGCTTGAGTCACACTATACTGAGCCCCAGGATAGATGTGGTCGCTTGAGTCACACTATACTGAGCCCCAGGATAGATGTGGTCGCTTGAGTCACACAGTTCACTATACTGAGCCCCAGGATAGATGTGGTCGCTTGAGTCTCACTATACTGAGCCCCAGGATAGATGTGGTCGCTTGAGTCTCACTATACTGAGCCCCAGGATAGATGTGGTCGCTTGAGTCACACTATACTGAGCCCCAGGATAGATGTGGTCGCTTGAGTCACACTATACTGAGCCCCAGGATAGATGTGGTCACTTGAGTCACATAGTTCACTATACTGAGTCCCAGGATAGATGTGGTCGCTTGAGTCTCACTATACTGAGCCCCAGGATAGATGTGGTCGCTTGAGTCTCACTATACTGAGCCCCAGGATAGATGTGGTCGCTTGAGTCACACTATACTGAGCCCCAGGATAGATGTGGTCGCTTGAGTCACACTATACTGAGCCCCAGGATAGATGTGGTCACTTGAGTCACACAGTTCACTATACTGAGCCCCAGGATAGATGTGGTCGCTTGAGTCTCACTATACTGAGCCCCAGGATAGATGTGGTCACTTGAGTCACACAGTTCACTATACTGAGCCCCAGGATAGATGTGGTCGCTTGAGTCACACTATACTGAGCCCCAGGACAGATGCGGCCACTTGGTGTAGCAGTCCATTACACCCAGAGCCAGGAAGGCTGCAGTAAACGTTAACAAACTGAGTAACGTGACAGCCTCAATGTTTATCCCAAACCTATTTACGTGCCCATTCAAAGTCAACTCTTCCAACTATCCTCCTTGTCCATCCAAATTTATGTTTTACAAGCCTCATAAAAGTACTGTATGAGTATCACTATCAAACCTCTGGGTAAAATGATATCAAATGATACAGTATTGTGAAGCCTAATACTGGGGACATCTGCCAGGTATAAATTAACAATTATGAATACAACACAGCTGTACTAGCTTTCAAGATACTGTACCTTTACTGTAATCTGGTAATTACCATAAATTGTTTAACCACTGCACTGCTCTGTATTAAAATATGACAACCCCATGGTGCCCGAAAATAAATTCCTTCTAAAGAATTATTTTATCTTATATTGTTAAAATGCAGTTTCTGATCACGGGAACAAAACAAAAAATACTGTATGTGACATACTTTAGCCGTGATGGAGCTGGGAAATTATGGGCGCTGAGCGATGGAGCGCTCGGAGTCACTAGGCCCCGCTACCCCGTGGGGCAGCAGTTGCACGAATATAATGTTTCACAATTATTTTGACGTTTCTCATTCGTTTCTTCTCTGGTTTTTTGTTGTAATATAATTCAAAAGTGTGTAATTTGTGGAATTTATATAGTTCAATGTCTGGAACATCACTATGCTCAAAATTATGGGGCTCATATATGACATACTGTATTTATATTATATTCTACAATCTATCAACCAGTGTTTTTGCTGTTATGACACTATATACACACACATTGCATATACCTATCTACATATGTACTTACCTAGTTGTACTTGCAGTGGCTGAGCTTTGTCTTTTTGGTCCCACCTCTCAACTGGTGAACAGATTCCTGAGCCTACTGGGCCCTATCATACTTACATATTAAACTGTGTATGGAGTCAGTCTCCACCACATCACTTCCTAGTGCATTCCATTTATTAACTACTCTGACACTGAAAAAATTCTTTCTAGTGTCTCTGTGGCTCATTTGGGGTAATAAGTTCCCACTCGTGTCGCCTTGTTCGTGTTCCACCCGACTCGTGTTCACCATAACGAACCACTAAGTTGGTATGGTGAGCCCAGAAAACAAAGAGTGGGCTGCCACACCCAGCCAGCCCTCCCTCACGCCTTCAACACCTAACTCACCAAAATTACACAATACTGTTTGTGGTTTTATTACACTATATACACAAGTTATATGTAAGTATCTACATGTTTTACTCACCATAATTGCACAACTAAGCTGGTAACATGTCCAAACAACACAGTGGCAAGAAAACACTGCATGACAAGTCACACAGCAGCTGGGAGATGACGCTCCCTCCCTCCTCACCACCATTACTCCTCCCATAATACTATGCACGTCTCTAATTCTCACCACAATCCTGCTATTATCAGAATCCTGGTGACTAAATCCTGTAAATGAATAATTCTCCACAATTTTAGTTTGTAAAGGAACATGAGGATTCGTCTGAAGATTCTTAGATGGACGAAATAATGTCAGTGTGCTGTTGCTAGTGCTGTGAACATCTTGAACAGCATTGATTCACTGATATCTGAACATTGTACACACTCTTTATCACAGTCAGGCTCTTCTGTAATACAATCATGGCTAAATAATACCAATTACATATATATTTTGACATTTTTAGGCGATGCTGTAGTCACAAGCTGAACAGCAGTGCTGCTAGTTCATGCTGCATGTGCCAGCCTTGGTTGCTCACTCAGCACTAAGGCTCTCACATCCAGGAATGTTGCCCACGATTTATTTTTAAAATGGCGGCTGTTTACGAGAGCCCTGATGAAGCCGATGTGAACCCCATGTAGCCACGGGAGTTTTGAATGCTACGCTATACCTACGAGAGGTTCAAGGACCATCCATCGAGAGCCTCAAGGCGTACTGCACAGTACAGTGGTTAAGCAATACCATACTATTCCCGAGCAAAATTGCAAACACAGTTCCACTCATCCAGTTCAAACCCATCCCACTCATTGCCATTCATGTCATGACGTGTTGAGGATCCAGAAGAGACCACAACGTTGTCACTGTCAAGTGTTTATGCCTGTGTTGGGTTATTTCTTCCAGCCCTGTTAGTTTATTATGACATTCTATGTGAATAAAAAACTCAATAACTGGATTTCACCAACAACTGAACGAACCCGTTATACGGGTCAACGATCCAGTTTTGTTTAAATCAGTCCTAGTCATACCTTTGGAGAAATAAAAGGCATCAGATAAACCAGTGAGAGAATGCTTGAGATAATAATCTTCCTCTATTCCTCCTCCTAACCTGGGCCTCAGTTCAAGCTACCATGAACTAAGATGCTGACACTATTCACTGGAAAACAGCGGACCTTATAACAATAATAATATTCAACCTTTAGTAAATATAACTATTTTTATAGAAAGGATGAGTCGTTTGTAATGAATTACCTGAAGAAGCTTTGCCAGTAGGTGATCTCATTTACAAAAAAACAGCCCCATGTTTTGCACTAGTTCATTACTGATTTCCATGAACGTGGAACAAAAGACACCACTCACAGGGAAGCGGTAACCTCATCCCATAACCCATTATGTGAACCAATGAAGCACAATTGAGAAAAGTAAGCAGTTTGAGTGTTAAGTGATGGGGGGTAAAACCTGTGAGTGGTGCGTGCATGGGGCGCAGCATACCTCAGCCTGCTTCTTCCACATATCAATGTTGCGCCTCTGGGCCTTGGTGAAGTGGTCCCAGACCTTCTGGTGACCGGCTGACAGGAAGACACGCTCGATCTGACCGACTGAGTGGCGGAAGAAACATGTGATGGTCAATAGGAGTAGCAGAGCCGGGCGTGTACCGTGCATCTCTGGGCGGCAGTGCCAAGTCTGAGCCCTCGTCTTGCTGCTTACACTTACTGCCTGTCCTGCTGACTGAACTAGGTCATGGGGGATGGGCCTCACTCCTACCATACAACAACATCCATATTGACGTATCTAGATGAGCGTGCTTTGCTATAAATAGCAATTAAAATGATGATGTTAGTTGGTGGAGTAGGGGCAAGGCCAAGACACACATACTACACCTGGGTGGGGTGTATTCTGAGCAGGCACTGTAGCAGTGGAGGGACACACAACAGATAAGGGTCCACTAGAGGACACATTTACCTGCGTCTCTCTACCTGCCCCGCTACACTGGCATAACTTTATTCAAACAATACCTTATCTTAATCAACCTCTAGTACTGAAATAATGTAAAAATTTCCTTCTTGTTAACTACATACATACGTACATACATACATACATACATACATACATACATACATACATACATACATACATACATAAATGATTGCAATCAGCTGTATTCTCATCATTTTTTAACTCGACTTCGAGTTAATGCCACAAGTTCACTGGTTATAACACACAATACATAGCAGCATTTCTCAACCTTTGTACCCTTGAAATAATTCCAGGCCGTACTTTAGATAAACATACATGAGCTTTCATTCCCATCTGAAATGACACGATTTCTGTCGTTGCTCTTGACGCTGGTTTAACGAAAAAGTTAAAACACAAAAATGACTCAAAAATACATTTGCATATGATTAGAATTAGTCTATACTGTATATTGTCATCTCTTGCAGAACCCCTAAGTTACCTCAGGGTGCCACAGGGTCCCCCGGTTGTGTCTTGCTGAACCCCTAAGTTACCTCGGGGTGCCACAGGGTCCCCCGGTTGTGTCTTGCTGAACCCCTAAGTTACCTCGGGGTGCCACAGGGTCCCCCGGTTGTGTCTTGCTGAACCCCTAAGTTTCCTCGGGGTGCCACAGGGTCCCCCGGTTGTGTCTTGCTGAACCCCTAAGTTACCTCGGGGTGCCACAGGGTCCCCCGGTTGTGTCTTGCAGAACCCCTAAGTTACCTCGGGGTGCCACAGGGTCCCCCGGTTGTGTCTTGCAGAACCCCTAAGTTACCTCGGGGTGCCACAGGGTCCCCCGGTTGTGTCTTGCAGAACCCCTAAGTTACCTCGGGGTGCCACAGGGTCCCCCGGTTGTGTCTTGCAGAACCCCTAAGTTACCTCGGGGTGCCACAGGGTCCCCCGGTTGTGTCTTGCTGAACCCCTAAGTTACCTCGGGGTGCCACAGGGTCCCCCGGTTGTGTCTTGCTGAACCCCTAAGTTACCTCGGGGTGCCACAGGGTCCCCCGGTTGTGTCTTGCAGAACCCCTAAGTTACCTCGGGGTGCCACAGGGTCCCCCGGTTGTGTCTTGCAGAACCCCTAAGTTACCTCGGGGTGCCACAGGGTCCCCCGGTTGTGTCTTGCAGAACCCCTAAGTTACCTCGGGGTGCCACAGGGTCCCCCGGTTGTGTCTTGCAGAACCCCTAAGTTACCTCGGGGTGCCACAGGGTCCCCCGGTTGTGTCTTGCAGAACCCCTAAGTTACCTCGGGGTGCCACAGGGTCCCCCGGTTGTGTCTTGCAGAACCCCTAAGTTACCTCGGGGTGCCACAGGGTCCCCCGGTTGTGTCTTGCAGAACCCCTAAGTTACCTCGGGGTGCCACAGGGTCCCCCGGTTGTGTCTTGCAGAACCCCTAAGTTACCTCGGGGTGCCACAGGGTCCCCCGGTTGTGTCTTGCAGAACCCCTAAGTTACCTCGGGGTGCCACAGGGTCCCCCGGTTGTGTCTTGCAGAACCCCTAAGTTACCTCGGGGTGCCACAGGGTCCCCCGGTTGTGTCTTGCTGAACCCCTAAGTTACCTCGGGGTGCCACAGGGTCCCCCGGTTGTGTCTTGCTGAACCCCTAAGTTACCTCGGGGTGCCACAGGGTCCCCCGGTTGTCTTGCTGAACCCCTAAGTTACCTCGGGGTGCCACAGGGTCCCCCGGTTGTGTCTTGCAGAACCCCTAAGTTACCTCGGGGTGCCACAGGGTCCCCCGGTTGTGTCTTGCAGAACCCCTAAGTTACCTCGGGGTGCCACAGGGTCCCCCGGTTGTGTCTTGCAGAACCCCTAAGTTACCTCGGGGTGCCACAGGGTCCCCCGGTTGTGTCTTGCAGAACCCCTAAGTTACCTCGGGGTGCCACAGGGTCCCCCGGTTGTGTCTTGCAGAACCCCTAAGTTACCTCGGGGTGCCACAGGGTCCCCCGGTTGTGTCTTGCAGAACCCCTAAGTTACCTCGGGGTGCCACAGGGTCCCCCGGTTGTGTCTTGCAGAACCCCTAAGTTACCTCGGGGTGCCACAGGGTCCCCCGGTTGTGTCTTGCAGAACCCCTAAGTTACCTCGGGGTGCCACAGGGTCCCCCGGTTGTGTCTTGCAGAACCCCTAAGTTACCTCGGGGTGCCACAGGGTCCCCCGGTTGTGTCTTGCAGAACCCCTAAGTTACCTCGGGGTGCCACAGGGTCCCCCGGTTGTGTCTTGCAGAACCCCTAAGTTACCTCGGGGTGCCACAGGGTCCCCCGGTTGTGTCTTGCAGAACCCCTAAGTTACCTCGGGGTGCCACAGGGTCCCCGGTTGTGTCTTGCAGAAGCCCTAAGTTACCTCGGGGTGCCACAGGGTCCCCCGGTTGTGTCTTGCAGAACCCCTAAGTTACCTCGGGGTGCCACAGGGTCCCCCGGTTGAGAAACGCTGCACTATAGAGTTCTTTCAATAGCACTAGTATTCACAAAGTCCTACTGGCAAGCCAGGTGATAAGACATATCATTACCCCATTTCCCACTTTCATGTGGCAGGGAGGCATCAACCCAGAGAAAATAGTCGAATATGGCAAAAGAATGTTTTCGATATTAAAAGCATAAATAAATCTCTCGTCTATTCATTGCACTATTCACACAATCCATCAACATAGCTAACACGCACCACCACCCCACACAGGAGCAACCTACAACTTCACAAGGCTTAATTTAGTGTTTGTGTGACTTATAATACAAAGTACAAAGAAATAAGATGAATTCCCCCCCCCCCCCCCGGTTCGAGCCAGTCGGCCGAGCGGACAGCACGCTGGACTTAGTGATCCTGTGGTCCCGGGTTCAATACCGGGCACCGGCGAGAAACAATGGGCAGAGTTTCTTTCACCCTATGGCCCTGTTACCTAGCAGTAAAATAGGTACCTGGGTGTTAGTCAGTTGTCACGGGCTGCTTGCTAGGGGTGGAGGCCTGGTCGAGGACCGGGCCGCGGGGATACTAAAGCCCCGAAATCATCTCAAGATAACCCCCCTATCCTCCTCCTCCTGTTCTTGTTCCATACCACACCCTGATTGTTGCTCCCACAGACAACCTGTGTCCTCTCACTCACCCACCTTCTACCCGTTCTTCCTCTCTTCTTCCAACCCTCAAAGTTACTAAAGCACTTTCCTCACCAGGTAGGGTAAGGTAATTATCAGGAGAAAGGGCTAAGCCAGTATGACCATTCAGCACTTGGAAGGAATATGACAACACGGAGCTGGGGTAGGACGAAAGGAAGGAACGATACGCTACTACTTCGACAGTTGGGAGGGGGGGGGGGTTAAACGCTGAGCTGCACGAAGCATGTTCATATAACTCTACATTCCAGTATATGAGTATATATATGCTCTTGAATTCCAGGAGCGTATATGTGGACAATGTGTGTGTGAAATTTGACACTCGTGAAAACTCAAATTAAGCTATACCCTTGGTCCCCCCCCCCTCTCCAACATTCATACCTTGACCTCCCCCATCACCCATGTATATGTAAACCACCAGGGTGACAACACAACCCTGGCACGCTTCTACACGTTACCAAGTCAGTCACTTGTTGCCTCGCTAACTCTACATATTATCGGTCGCTTGTTGTCTTATACGAGTGATACTTCCTACACTGTTGCAACCTTTTCACGCCATTGAACAGTCCTTGGACAACTTCATGCATGCACTTCGCTCCCCAAAGGTACGCTAATTATCAGGAGTAAGTGCATTCCCGGTGTGCCTTTAGGATCTGGCAAACATATGAAGACAGTAAAGAATGTACCGCGTAAAGGTTTACCACGTACCTTGGAGGTGGGGTCCCTCGATTGTTTCAAACTTGGGTTGGACATGTATATGAGTAGGATTGGGTGGTTGTAAATAGGAACTGCTTCGTATGGGCCAATAGGCCTTCTGCAGTTACCTTTGTTCTTATGTTCCTATACACAAAAATCACATTAACATGATGTATCAGTGAGAAAAGTAGGAGGAGCCTTGAGGAGGATTTGAACCTGCACAGTGGGTACTCCCAAACACACCTCTTAACACACTGGACCACAACATGCTAGAAGCAATGAACCTGGGATTCAACTGAATCTTCTTGGGGGGTTTTGAGACTTCCACTGAAACCAAGATTTGGATTTCACACATTACCCGCATGTTCTCTGGCTGTGGTATCAGAATCCTACCCACGTACAATTTAGACTCATTTTCACTTTCCCCCTCTAATCTCTCCTCCTTCTCCCTCCTCATTCTTCATCACCGATCAATTTCTCCATAACTTTCTCCTCTCTAATCTACACCTTCTCCCCCTCATTCTTCAACACCAATCAATTCCTCCGTAACTACTTCTATTCGGCCCACAAAAATTTAGTACGCTAGTATTTCTTTAATCACATATTTGTGACATTCTCCTTAATCTTTTTATCCAGTTGTGCAATCACAGTTCTTTTCCGATCTTCTGGCACAATACCACTGTTTCGTGTCCAACAGATTCTCCACAGTTACTCATTTTCAGCTTCCTCACGTAATAAATTCTCTTCATATTCACCTTGGAATGGCTTCAGAAACACTTCCACCGTTTATACGTTCCCTACACCTAATCTCTTCAAC